GGCTTACCTTAGGTTTGATGTAGCCTCCATTTCAGCCCTTGGAAACTTGTTGTCTGTAACAAGTATCCATGAAAAAAGTATTATTTAGCTGCAATTATATCAGTCTTGAAAACTGGAGAAATACAGCCTGTTTTTTCAGAGCCTCGATGTATAATTTTCCATAGGGTAAAGTCACACTCAGGTATCTCAAATGTTTTGCTTCAGGTTCTAGCCACTGATTTTCATTTAACCAAATGTTAAATTTCCCTGTTGCAGGGAGGCTAGATTAGATACATTGGTTGTGCTCAGAGTACTGAATTATTTTTTATATAAGACTAGACTTGTCCTGATAAACAAATGAGTCTGCTGCAAGTCTGCTAGAGCGTGCTAATAAGCATGCTCCAGCAGCCTCCGTATCATGCGTATTCAGCATCCCTGCATTTCAAAATGGTGGCAGGGGCACTTTAACTAAAGCCCGTCAAATGAGAGCAAGAGAGAGAACATAGCCTTCCAGCATTTTCTCTCCCTTCTGCCTCCTCTCCCCTACCGCCCCAGGGACACAGTGTTTCACTTGCTTTTTTTTGCTGCTCCAGCAAGGAGCAGAATACACCCCTTTCACAATCCCTACATTATGGTATAGGGACCACCAGGTGATGACCTGAGCAGTCTGGATCAGCCAGTCAGGAGGGCCCTATGCACAACTGCCACCTGTTGCCAGGCAGACTAAGGGAGCCTGTAGAGCATACTAAGATGTGTGTGCAGGGGTGCCTTCTGCATGCACAGTATTAGCACTGCAAGCTTTCTACCCTTCAGGTCCTTAGATTCAAATGCCTGTACATGTGGCTCTGGGTAATTTTTTCTATCAGGAGAACAAACTTGGGAGAATTTGAAATTATTTGTAGTGTTTACACAGCCACAATTGTGTGTGTGTGTGTGTATAAAACTAAAAATTAGTTAGTTATAGAACTTAGTTTAGCATTTCTTAAGTAAACATGCACAAAAATAAGTTCTATTTTCCATATCAATTTTTAAAAAATAACTACCCTTAAGTTTTATCAAGGAGTTAATTCAGTTGTGAAATTAAGATCTTTAATTCTCTCTTGATTTTTTTTCTTTAAGTAGTGATTGCTATAATACCACTACTATTGGAATTCAAAAAGGGGCATTGATTTCAGGAGGATATATAGTACAAGAAATAATATAATAGCAGTGTCCACTTGTTATCAGGTTTAGGCATCAGATAATAAAGATGATTTAAGGATAGTACTATGCAACTGTGAAATCAGAAGGGAAGCTGTATGGTAAATTGTAAAAAGGGGTATTGGTAGGAGAAAATATGAAGGTGGACTGGTTGGTACATATATCTTCCTGAGGGTGTAATTGTGACTAGTCTGCAAGGGTAAATGTTAATCATGTTTCTGAGAAGGTGCATTAGTTAAGATAATTAGGAAGGGATAGCATTTTGCCACAAGTGGCATGTTGTGCCAGTATTTTGCCTGGTGTATGTAATATAAAAGCAAATTAATTCTAGATGCCAGAAGGAGATGAAATTACATTGCCCTAAAGGAGTACTGAAAAATAGGAAATGTACATCTGAGCTTTCTGATAGGTTAGCAGTGTGGGTTAAAATGAATTATTTAGGATTCAGGTATGCCCAGGCCTGTGCACAAGATACAGATTGCAGACAAAGTGCCTTTCCTAAACAAAAGAATTGGAGAGCATAAGTATTCCCACTTTTAACAGATACTCAAAAGAAGGTTGACTGGGCAGGGTTGAATGCTGAAAATATAGGATGTGCTGGAAAAGCTGCTGCTCCGGCATGGGCTTCTCCAGAGCTGCAAGATAAATTATGTCCAAGTTAACCTGCATTATTATCTGATGCTTTCACTGTGGGCTTCTAGATTCATGGGTGCCAATGCTTTTGGCAATTATGCTACAAATTAGCCCTGCACCCTCCCCCGGTGCCACTCCAGTCCCCTTCCTCTGCCCAATCTCCTGCTTTTTCTGCCTGATCTCTCCTGCTCTGCTTTCTGCCTCCTGCATAAACTGCTGCTGTGCTGGTTGTTGCATGCCACACACAGAGGTTGCCCGTGCCACTTGTGGCACTCATGCAACAGGTTGGCTACCCCTGTCTTAGGTTTTCCTAGTGGCAGTCCATGTTTTAAAAGCCATAAATTGTTCTTAATAGGAAGGACCTTGGAATTCAGCAAGTTTGTTCGTCATGTAAGTTGGATTGTTTGTTTAACAGAAAAGTGTTAGAGGAGTTGCATTAAAACAAAATTGAATGCCAGTTAGGAACATTATATGGCAAGTTTTGTATATTAGTGCCATAAGAATTAGGGAAGATCACTTAAAACCCATTTGTCACAATACTAGATGTTTAAGTAAAATATAACAAGAAAACTACTGTCCAAGTTTCATAGATTCATAGATTGTAGAGTCGGAAGGGACCACAATGGATCATTGTGTCCGACCCCCTGCCCCTGACAGGAAAGAGGACCAAGGTCAGATGACCCCAGCCAGGTGAATATCTAGCCTCTTCTTGAAGACCTCCAAGCTAGGTGAAAGCACCACCTCTCTTGGAAGCCCATTCCAGATCCTGGCCACCCTTACTGTGAAAAATTTCTTCCTAATATCTAACCTAAATCCACTCTCAGTTAGTTTACACCCGTTATTCCTAGTCACTCCCTGGGGCGCCTTAGTAAACAGTGCGTCACCTATTCCCCATTGACCTCCCCTAATAAATTTATAGGCGGCCACAAGATCTCCCCTCAGCCGTCTCTTGTGAAGGCTGAAGAGATTCAGCTGTCTCAACCTCCCCCCATAGGGTCTTTCCCAAAGGCCACTAATCATGCGAGTGGCCCTCCTCTGGACCCTCTCCAGATTCTTCACGTCCCTCTTGAAGTGCGGCACCCAAAACTGGACACAGCACTCCAACTGCAGCCTGACCAGTGCCGCATAGAGGGGGAGCATCACCTCCTTTGATCTATTAGTCATGCACCTGCTAATGCACAACAAGGTGCGATCAGCCTTGTTGATGGCGTCGTTACACTGCCAGCTCATGTTCATCTTGGAGTCGATTATGACTCCAAGATCCCTCTCTGCCTCCGAGCTGCTGAGAAGGACACTCCCCAACCTATAGGTGTGCTGGGGATTCCTGCCTTCCTAAAGTCCAGGAAGATGACATCAGCCTCAGCTCCCGCATCCAGGCAGTGTGTAACCAGGTCATGGAAGGCTACAAGGTTTGTCAGGCAGGATCTACCTGTGACAAACCCATGCTGGTTTCCCCTCAGCATTGTTTCCCCTGCTGGGCCTGCACAAATGTGTTCTTTGATTATTTTCTCTAGCATTTTCCTAGGAATAGAGGTAAGACTGACTGGCCTGAAGTTACCTGGCTAATCCCTTCTCCCTTTCTTGAAAATGGGCACCACATTGGCCCTTCTCCAGTCCTCAGGGACCTGGTCGGAGCACCACGAGTGTTCAAACAGCTGTACAACAAAATGTTACAACGTACCTTGAATCCTTACAATAGGAATCATTCCCATTTTTCATTTAGTATGTACCCATTAGGCACTAGCATTTAACCACTGGTAAGCCTTCCTGTATGTGTGTATGTATGTTAGAAGGGTTTAAACAGATCATTCATTGCCTGCTCCAATATATTAGGGGAAAATATGAATATAATTTCTAATCTTGAGGAGGTTGAAAAGAAAGCACTGTTTTGACATCTCTTTATGAATGGCATTTGATTTTTCCATTTTGCAAAATATCAGTAATCCAAATTCACAGTGAATCACCTTCCAGCGGAGGTGTTAAACATACTTTCTGTCCAAATCAGGGCACCCAACACTTTGGTCTTTTCACAAGCTGAACCACTCGCCTCATGGGGCTGGATTCAGCCCATGGGGTTTTTGCCATGGCTGACTGACCACTTGCAGAGGGGCATTAATCCCTGTTGTTTCAGCATAGCTCCAGAACCCAGAGTTAATGTCATTCACATTTTCCCCTATTCCCCCATCCATCCTGTTGTAGTTTCTAGTTGTCCCTGGTGACTAATACCTATGTCAGGGGGAAGCAGGGAAGAAAGGATGAATCATAGTGACATTATTTCCCAGGGTTACAGAGCTGGGCCTTAATGGTAGCTCCAGCAGCTGCAGGAATTAATACTCTGACCTCTACAGGGCAAGCAGTACAGCACTCCAGTGCATTGATCTGTCCTACTTTTCCTCACAGGCATCTATTGTTTCATATTCTCCAGGATTACATGTCCCTGGTGCTTAATATTTCTAATCTTCTTGGTAATATTAACCACTTGCACACTATCTGACCTAGCTGCAGAAACCAAATTAGTTCTATAATCAGAAGTATCAACACATTTTTGAACCAGTTCACCCTTTTGCTAGCAGAAATTTTGGTGATACACAGTGGCTTACTGAATGGAATCTAGTGAATAGCACAGTGGTGATGGGACACTGCTAAGTGGCACAGCAGTGAGTCTTAGGGATTTTTTGTTATGGTGTTGGGGTAAGTTGCTTTGGGTCATATTGGTTATATCACTTCAGATAATGTTATTTTTAAACTTGCAACTTTAATGTTGAGTCTGTTTGCCTTCACTTATTTTAAAGTAGTAATTGAGTTGATAGTATTACTTTAAAGGGCCATTACCAAACGGAAATGTTGTATGTCCCATGGTTTTTGTTCATGACTGAGCACTGCCTGGTTCCTGTATAAGGACACCAAAAGTATTGTGAAATTAATTTGTGAAGCACTTCTTACAGTAGAAATTCAACACACTAATTTGCAGGAATGTGTTCCATCTTTACTGTGTATCTTTTCTTTGTAACCAATTCATTCTACACACTCTTGTTCTGTTCGATCATATTTTTCAATAGTATTTCTTTCTGCATCACAATTAAGCCTGTTACACTAACAGGGGTTTAATAACAACTATCACACTTGGAAGAATTCACTAGGCTGTAAGAAATAGAGAGAGATCTTAAATGATGTTGTTTTTTTTTTAGGCTCCTTACCCAGAATGTTGGTCTTCTTTATGTCGGAAGCTTTGACAGACCTTTTGCACATATTAAGGTATGATTAACAAGGTTTTGGGTTCACCTAAAAGTCATTAAGTTCTTGTATATTTCTTGAAATTTCAGAGTACTTCAGATGAATTAATACCATTTCAAGAAAAATGAAAAATATTATAATTTTCCTCGTGTTCATCATGTTCTGGGATTATTTCCAGTGACATTTATGTATTTAGCTTGTCAAAAAAATTGAATGTTTTCTATCATCTTGTTTGATTAATTTTGACACTAGGTTAATTATCAGAAACAAAATGTTTATTTTTTAGGTTACTTTCTCAGTGACATTTCAAAACAAAGCCATCTTTTCAACTCTAATCCTTCAAGTGATTTTGGGCAGGGAAGACATGGCATTAGAAAACACAAGAGAGTATTTTCCCAACATTATTAGACTTTGTTATAAAGGACATGTAACACTTCTCAAAACGTTCATCTTTTGTGATGTAATGATTATATTTTTCAGCTGAACTTTAAGTAGATCTACTGTTTCTAACAGCTGATTGCTAGTGAAGCTTTGGGAAAGCATACTGGTTTGGATGAAAATTTCATTGTGAAGTTTCCTGAGGGTAGAGAGAGATCCTCCCAGAAAACCCATTAGCACAGTTTTGCATTCACCTGAGATGAGATGTGAAATCTGATTTTGGAGTGTGGGCTGGAGTCTAGGTTTTGCATATTGTAAATGAGTGTCCTAATCAATCAATCTGAGGTTGGTCATTTTCAATCTGTCTTGTTTTCATGAAACAACTAAAGGGTCTCATTTATATTGCACATTGAAATGCAAACATTTTCAAGATTTCAATGTTTTAATTATTTGGCCAGCCCTAATAAATTAATTAATTCTCTCTCTCTCCCCCTCCCCCTCCCCCTACAAGCTATTGATTCTTTTAAATCAAAACCCAAGTTTTAAGAATTTATTCAAAAAACATAGGAAACATGTACTATCTTCCTACATCCCTAAATTTACAGCATTTAACTGATTTGACATCCAAACTATTTTTAAGTGTTCCTCCCTGAAACCTTATATGGCAAGAAGTTTCATCTCAAGTGAATGTTTATATCCTGAAGTGTAACTCTTTCCAAAATAGTGTTTGCATCAATGAAAATGTTCAATAGAATCTTAATTTATATAAAAAGTGGCCGTTCTGTAAGTATCTGGATGCCTCAGGAAGAAAAGATAAAACATTAGAAAAATGGTTGAAGTAACACATCTGAAAACTATCCTAAAAAAGTTAATTGGTGGAGGTCGGTCCTTCTTTGTAATCTATTCCACCCTGTGGAGGGCTGCCCTTGACTCCATCTAATCCCATTAACCTAGTATCAGCACCATCGCTCATACCTCATCGCTCTCCCCCAGTACCTCCTGACAAGTGTAAGGTGGGTGGGAAAAGATATTGTCTCATTATACTGGACATTATCAGCTGACCTCATTCCCTGATTTCTTTAGGAGATGCTTGCTCATAATTCATAGATTCATAGATTCAGTTCTCATTAATCAGGGAATCCAACACACTATTGAAATATTATTTGCACTGGATACTTGTTATGTTGTGACAACATGATTTTTACCGCCTAACCACAGGGTCCTTGGACTGGTGTGAGGAAGATGGAAAAAAATTGACACTGGGCCTAGGCCAGTCTGGCAATAAAAGGACTCCCAAAAAGGCATCTAGTTTGATGCCCACAGCAGGATCTAAAATAACAATCTTACTCTCATCTCAAGAAAGGAAAGCAGGCAGCTTTTCCCACACAGAACAAGACCCCAGAACTAGTGGAGGAGTTTATAAGCCTACTCAGTGTCAGTGTAGGAGCCAGTAAACTCATCCTGTACCCTTGTGTCTACATTTCTAAAATTTCAGGCAGTTTGATAACGTAGCTAGAGCAGATCCAAATCTAGAATGCCTTATCCTGGCATTCAAGTGGCACCATGTATTCCAGGTGTTTTCATCTCCATGATTGTAGAAGATACTCTGTAAGCATCTCTCTCTTCCAAAAGTCATGTCTAATTTTCAAGAAATATAGGTTGACCTAATGTAACATACTTAGCTTTTAAGTTAATATAAAGGCCTCTTCATGGTTTTTATCATGTGAAACCCATCAAAATAGTATCTGATTATGGGAGTCAGCCAAAGGAAGGCTCTCCTGTCTGTTACCTTACAAGTACAAGAAAAAGTAAAGAGCTCGTTTGATTTCAACCATTCAGCTGGCCCCAATAAATAATGGTTTTGTATTTTATCCTGTTGAAAATGCCTCTGTACTTTTCATAACCCTATACCAAAATGTTTTTTTCCTAGATTGTTTAACCCTTCTTCATCTTAGGTATCAGTTATTGAGAGTTATTAATTCAAAATTATTTAATATAGATCTTTGTTCATTGATGCTTATGAATTCTCTGTTTGTAGCTTAAACCCTTTGAAAGATCTGAACACTGGATGGTGTACTCTCAACCCTTCTCCAAATATGTCAGCTACTTCATTGGAGTATACAGCATCATTAGGTTTTTTCAGTCCCTACTTCATGGTTTTCTTTTCTATCTATGTCTGCTTATATGTCACTATATTTTCCCTTAAAACATTTCATCTTACAATGAACATGCAGATTTTATGTTAAAAAAAGGCTTGCAGGGTATGATTGTTCCCATATTTAGGTTTAACCTTCCAAATAACCCTCAATCAGCCCATGCCACATCAGCTGCTTTCCACCATCTGCATTTTACTTTATGGACCACTCCAAAGCCAACACTGCTTGTTCCTCAAGTAGAACTCTTCTAGGAATCTTTGTGTACTGCTTATCTCTGTGCTTGGCTCTACTTACGGGCAGTAGAGATAACAAATGGGGTACAAAAAGGGCTTGAAGCAAGGAACAGGAATTGCTGGGAGTGCTACTGTTGGACTTTTTGTGATCCGGGCCTGCAGCATAAAGGTGAGCTCCAAACATGTTGCAGTATGGAGCAGGGAAGAATCCAAGTGGCAGTGCAGTCAACCTCATGTTGAACTTCTAGACAGTTTCTGGCATTTAACTGTCCTCCCACAGGTGGTCAAGCTAGGATCATTTAGTATTGGTGGTTGTGGGCAGGGGTGTAGGGTGGTATTTGGCTTGACCCAGAGGATCAGTTTAGATGACACTCTTAGTTAATACTTATAAAAGACGGCCTTACTTATTTGCTAAATTATTTGTAGACTATAGAGAAAAGTTGGAAGCTCTTGTGCCTGTATCCAAAGACTATCAAAGTAGGGCAAACTGTGGAAGTTGAAGTTAGGATCTTGCATGCATTTGTGTACTTGAAGGGAAATGGAACGTAGTCCACAAGGGCTGAAGCACTCTTTAAAACGGGGCTGTCCAATTGGTGGTTTGTGGACTCAGCGTAGCCTGCACAGGCTAACATACAGCCCCTGGGCTCCTACCCAGTCACCTCTCCCTGCATCACTCTAGTTATAGCAGAGGCAGGTTCTTTGAGTTCCCTGTCTCTTCTCTGACTTACACTTCCTGCCGCTGTCAGCAGTAGCATGATACAGTCCACAGTGCCAGGGGAGAGGGCATCTCAGAGTGCCTGTGCAGTGCGGTGCAGCTTGGAAACCTGCCTTTGAGGAGCTGAAGGTGAAGTGGGGCACCTGCCTGCAGTGCAGTAGGGGAGGGAGAGGAGAGCACCTACACACATGCATAGCATGCAGCTTTGGAGGCAGGGGGGAGTCTGTGGTCCCTTCTAGTACAGGCCTTGCCTGCTTATAAGTTGGACAGCCCTGCTCTAAAACATAAAATGACTCTTACAGAGATGTATAAGTATGCTTACTGAAAATAAATACATACATATGCATAACATTTCTTGGCTATGCATCTAGATATAATACTCTATTTGGGAGGGAATCCTGAAATGTTAGGCTTGTTTTCCTCTGAGCCACCTCATTTATGGGTCCTATTATTAATCCATTACAACTGGGGGATTTGCCATATACATGTAATTTATAAGCTTTCTTCTCTTTTGTTTTGGAGTCATAAGTAAAGCTTTGACCATATGGGAACGTGAATTTGGATTGGTATTGGAACAGCAACTTTATATACCAGCAGTTCCCAACCTCGGGTCGTGACCTAAATGAGGGTCGCGGGGGCAATGCCAGTGGCACCGCACACAAAGGACAAGCCGCACCGTGTGCTGGGAGCTCTCCCAGGCCGCCTCTCCCACCACCGTACTCTGCTCCCAGCAGTGGGTCATGGCAAAAAAAGGTTGGGAGCCACTGCTACATGCCTTCAGATCCATAAGGGCATAGCTTCATTAGGTGATTGCACATTTTTGGGGTCTTGTATCCACCAAGGGTGTGCATATAACTCACAAATGTAGGTCTTTGCACGCAGTTGTCTCTATGAACGTTTGTTGCTGATAAGTAACGTTTATTTAATTTTTCTTCCTTCAGTAAGTCCTGTAATCTTACTGCGTGGTTCCTAACAATCCTATCTGAAACATCTGTGAGCCAAAGTGAACATGTTTGTTACTACGTTACTATGTAATCTGTGTAAACCAGAATATCCACTAACTTTGAGTTGAAGGAAATCTGCTTTTGCTCCAGTCTTTTCTGTTAATGTAAATTAGCGACTCATCACTCATCGTCTTACTGTTGACATCCTTCTTCTTCATGCCATCCCAAGTATTTTCCATTTCTTTAGCTTATTTGATAAAGACCAAATTGACGATCCATATATTTGAACCCATTCATTGTAGCCTTTTTAATCTTACAGTTTTCAAAACAATCTTTGCATAGATAATACTTTTGGTTTGAGGATTAAGCAATTACAGACCTTCATATCCAGTATTAATACACAAAACCCACTATGTTGTTTGTCAAATAAGGTCAGTCTATACATAAGTAGAGAGAACTCCTTATACAAGTACCTCTTTCCAGCACTGAATAGACTTGATTTTCCAGAACCATGCAGTATCTAAAGATAATGTAAGGGGTTTCTGGTCTGATAATGGTTGGCAAGTTTGAGGAAGAAAGGACTGCAATACTGCCA